TAAAGACCCATTCTTTCATAAATGTTTGTAGACATGATTGCATGGCTGGGTGCTTGATTTTAAACACCTGTGGAATGGGTCTGAATGTAAGACTAATTAGATTAAGAGGTGTGTCCCAATACGTTTCTGTTATTACTTTTTCCATTACATTTTCAATACTTTTAAGCCAAGCCAATGAATAATGCAGGCTATGCTACCGTTTCCATTTCCCCCTGGATAACACTGTCCCCGATAATTCAGATCAGGCATGCTGGGTAACCTGTGTGTAAAATGCAACAATGAAATGATGAATATGAGTGAATTAACACAAGAAGTCACAGACTGTCTGCGGATCCTCGTAGAATCGCTGGTGTCGCTAATTGCTGATGGAGCTACAGTTACTGGACCCGGTCCGCAGGGTGTTCAGGAGGACAGTCTGCACTGGACAGGCACTGGTCAGCTGCCTATTGTAAGAAGGGTCCTTGTTCTGCTCCCAGTAAGGTAGTGATTACTGAATGTCTATCATAGCTGCTGCAGGTAGGCTGTGAGGTTTATACTGTGTAAAAAGTGTAAATTGCACACGGAGTGAGTTCTCTGTCACCAGCTTTCAGTGTCTAACATTACCTTAGGATGATTAGACGTCACCTTTAAGGACATTTACTTTTTTTGGCATTTAAAATATTGTTTATATTCATTATTGCCTTTATTATATAACAACAAAAGAGTTTTGACTTCACAAAACAAACATGACTGAATGTTGTGCCTAAATTCACAGGTTTTAAAATGACCCATTTTTGCTGACATTATCTCTTTTGCTGTCTGCTAATGGAACATGTGTTGTATGATCTAATATGTTTATTTAAGTGTATTTTAAAAATAAACAGATCCAACGAGATAAATAATAATGTGACATCCTTATTCTCTGTGAGGAAGTAGTATTTGTACGGCTTCCCCACAGTCCCCATCACTGTGAGTCCCTGGCACAGTAGTACACAGCCGTGTCTTCAGCTTTCAGGCTGTTCATCTGTAAATACACCTGGTTCTTGCTGTTGTCACAAGAGATGGTGAATCTGCCCTGAAAAGTCTGGGAGTAGCGAGTGCTATCATCTTCAGGGTCAATGCGAGCGATCCACTCCAGGCCCTTCCCAGGAGCCTGTCTGATCCAGCTCATAAAATAGTCACTAAATATGAACCCAGAGGCTGTACATGTCAGTTTATGTGATTCTCCTGGTCTCTTCACCACTGGTTCAGACTCAGTCAGTACAATCTGAGCCTTCACACCTGTAAATAAAGAGGTAGAGCAGACTTTTACATGAGCACAAAGAAACATGCAGAGAGAAAGAGAGACAGAGAGGAGAGAGACAGGGACNTCCCAGTGACTGCTGCTCTCTGTCACACACTGACACTGGCTCCTTTAAAAGCTATGGCAGGTTTGTACAGGATCCTCCTCTGATGGGCGTGGGGCGGGGTGAAGGAGCAAAATAAGGGAATATAGTCACATGCAAAACAGATTAATTTGCTTTGTAAACCTCAACTAAAACACAGAGTATATTACACATTCTGAGCTTTTCATGTAATGATCACACTTCTTGTACATATAGAATTCAAATAAATAACAATACTAATATGTCCTCAATATTTTGATCTAATAGTAGTTGTATCTGATAGTAGGGTTTAGGTTTATTTGTGTCACTATTGTACTGTTGTACTATAAGTTTAATTTTTTTGTAGTTTCACTGGAGATAGGGCCTTTTCCTGCGCTACCTCACGATTGTGGAATGCCCTACCTCCACATTTGAGGGCTTCACGGACTGTGACGTTTAAAAAAAAGCCTGAAAACGTTTATTTTTAGGCAGTGTAATGATTGCTTTAATTGTTTAAATGTTTTATTCCTCTTTTAAATGCTTTTTTTAATGTAATGTTTTTTCACTATCTGTATGCACTTTGAGATTTTCTTTGTAAAAGGTAAAGTGCACTATAAATAAATTTATTATTATTATTATTGTTATTATTATTATTATTATCCTTTTACACAGTTTTCAACAGTATCAAATTTGCTCCAAAGCAGTTTGATTCAAGATTCAAGATTCTTTATTTGTCACATGTAGTTATAGCTGGTACAACATACAGTGAAATGTGTTTCCCTGGCTGAACTCCGGCTGTGCTAGACGTAGGATGAGTATATAAGTACTAACAGAGGAATATACATATATATACAGAGGTAAAGATGCATTTACCATGTAATAAATAAAGTGCCATAAGGTGCAGACAAGGTAAGGTGCAGATGTGCCATGAGGTACAGATGTTTTTATAATTTACAGATGGAAGAAATTAAGTTATATTAGATTGTGTGTCGTTGTCCGTTATGTGTTGTGTGTGTAGTTGTCCATTGTGTTGTCCAGTTATGTGCTGTGGTTATCTACAATAAGGAGATAACCTTATTATTATTATTATTTAGGAGTCTCACTGCTTGTGGGTAAAAACTCCTCCTAACCCGTTCCGTTCTTGTTTTCAGGCTACAGAGGTGTTTCCCAGACCTCAGTGGCCTGAACAGTTTATGGGTGGGATGGCCGGAGTCACTGGTGATCCTGATGGCCCGGGATCTGCACCTTTCAGTGTAGATGTCCTGCAGTGCTGGTAGAGGGGTTCTCATGGTGCGTTCTGCTGTGCGCACTACCCTCTGCAGGGCCTTCCGTTGCTG